GGCGAGCGGCCGCCAGTGCGGACGGGGAACGCGGCGGAGAAAGGTGTGTGTTGTCGTCGCTCTCTCTCCCTCAGCTCTCGCCAGGAGGATGTCTTCTTCTCAGCTCCGCAGGGTCGTCCTCAGCACGGGGAATATTCTCGAGATGGAGGACCTGATACGCAAGGCGGGGCAGACCACATCGGAAGAGGTGAATGTCTCTCTTTTCTCCATCTCTTTTTGTAAATAGAAGATCAATACTTGCCTCCATTTCCAACCTATTCTTCGGGATCTTAAATATGCATGAGAAAAGGTAAAGGTTTTATTTTTTTCGTAGTTTCAGGGAGAATTCTCGTGTCTTTTTTTCCTCTTTTTGGTGAGAACGTTTTATTTTTTTTCTCTAGGTGTATGTGTTGTATACGAAACGTTTATTGAGAGGTGTCCCTGTAGTGTCATTTAGTTATTTATTTTGAGAAATATGTCGTCATTTATTTCAGAGGAATGTTGGTATTTATTAAGGCATTTATTTGGGGATGTGTCGTCATTTATGCACCGTTATTTAGCCGTTTGTGGAGTGTCAATTACTCTTTTTCCTTGTAATCTATTTTAGGAAAATGTCTTGTAATGCTGACAAAGGATTCCTCTTGTTGGGTTATTTTTATTTTATTTTCACGGGGCAGGAATTCCAATTATATTCCTGTGAAGACGTATGAAGAGAGGAATGTAATTAGTTCAGTTCAGCATTAAAGCTAGCCTTCCATCACGTATGATTTTGACGTGCGATGCGACAGATGACAACCAGAAAATGTGACGTTCATGCTTGTGTATATTAATGAAATTTGTCCTTTCTAACTCGGTAACTCGAGCTTTTCTGAGACTTTTCATCAAAAAGCTGATAGTTACATCCAATACCTGGCCGTTGTGTTATATAATTCATTATTCAAGTCATTTTTGCTTTGGAAACAGTTTATGCAGTTAGTTTCAAGATGAAATTCGTGCAGCCATTATTTATATATAAATATATACATTATGTATATATATATATATATATATATATATATATATATATATATATATATATATATATATATATATATTATATATATATATATATATATATATATATATATATATATTATATATATATATATATTGCAATTTTTTCCCCCCGTTTTTTTCCTTGTAATACATTGAAATTTGTCTTTTGGATGGATTATGTAATATTTCATATGATGAGTAAACATGATGTTCATAAATCTTCCGTGAACATAGGTTGGGTGATTTTGCTCTATTTACTAATAAATTTTAGATGATATTTATTTACAAAAAGGGGGGGATGATAGTAGTAGCATTTAGCACTACTTGCATACACCGTTAGCTACTAGTAATTTAGTGGACGATTTGGTTATCATAGTGTCAAAATAATTTAAGGAATGTGATTTGACCTACTTATACATCAATGAATTTAGACATGATGTCGGTATCCTTCTACAGGAGCAATGTGTACTCTTCACGGAGACTTTGATAACGTGTATTATTTGTGTACCATTTCCCGTGTAAGTTGGATGGGGGAGTCCTCCTCCTTTTCATATATGTAGGCCTTTAGTGTTTGATTTTGATCATTGGAATGCCAGTGACACCCCCTTTTTTTTCCACCATGTGATTCATGTTTTTTGGCATGATGCCAAGACATCCTTAGTCTTTCTGTTTCATCTTGTTAATTCTTGCGTGAATGCCAGTTTCAGTTTGTTTCATTTCTTGTTTTTATTTTTGATATTAACGTTAAAAACAATAATAATACGATCATTTTGCCATCATCAATCATCATCATCATCACTCTCATCATCATTATTCTCATCATCATCATCATCAGTAGTACTGTTATCATTGATATCATCGTTATTGTTATTGTTAGTGTTATGATTATTATATTGCTATTGTTAATCTTTACGTTATGGATGCACTAAGTTAGAGCAATTTGAATATGAATTTTTTGTAGTGGACAATGCTTTATAGTAGTTGGTACAAGAAATAATGTGCAGATATGAACGGAAATGCCACAAATAAAGGTAAAAGGTCACAGAAAGCGCTACTTGCAGCCGAAGTCCACTCGGTGCTCCCAAGTTTCAGCACTGTCTTTCCGTGCACACCAAGGTGAAGACAATGGGGGGCAGGACTCCTATCAACCCTCCCTTCGCGCAGTGCCTGAAGTGCATGCTCAGTCATGGCAACTTGGATTGCTAGATAAGTTTTTTCATGTGGAGTTGGGGACTTATTCTTGTCATTATTGTTTTTATTATTATTGTTATTATTATTGTTATTGTTGTTGTTTTTATGAGTGTTATTGTTAATCATAATCTCTGTTACTATTTTCTTTATAGTTGATATTATTTTTACTACTACTACCACCACTACCACTATTATTGCTATTGTTATTATTGTTGATTTTGTTGTTAGTGTTATGAATATTTTTCATTATAATTTTATTATTATTGTTTTGTTATTGTTACTATTGATTGATATTATTATTATTGTTATTGTTATTTTGTTTTATTATTATCATTAATATTACTATTACTGTTGATGATTGTTATTACTGTTATTATTTTTTGTTATTGTAATTTTTAATTTTTAAATGATTACTTGACTATTAATATTGTTTCTTTTATTATTATTATTATTATGATGATAATTATTATTGTTGTTGTTGTTATTATCATCATCATCATCTATTGTTTATTATTGTATTATTATTATTATTACAATTTATTATTATTATTATTATTATTAATATATTATATTATTTATTATTATTATTTATTATGTATTATATTAATTTTTATTTTATTTATTTTTTTGTTTATATGTTGGGTTATGTTTTAATTGTTGTATTGTTATATTTATTGGGTTGTGTTGCTTATGTTTATGTTTATTGTATATGTATAGTTATAGAGAGTAGTGTAAGGTTATTACTATAATTGTTAATGATATTAGAGTTTATTATAGATTATTATTATTATTAGATTTTTTATATTATTATTTTATGTTATCATTGCTTTAGTATTGGAGCTAGGTTTTGAAATTATTACCAGGTTAGTAATCATGTTTATTATGGATTTTTATTGTTGTTATTGCTATTGTTTTTCTTGTTGTTGTGTCAGTGTTTTTTGGGTATATAAGGATATGTTTTTTTTTCAATGATAATGAATGATGATTCATCAGATCACATCATCATCATATAATATTGCAATATCATCATAATATTGGCAATTGTTTTTGTGATTTTTTATATGGTGAATTGTAATTAAATTATTATATGGATTTTTTCACAGTTTTATAGTTATATATTAGGTATTATTATGTGTAATTTTTTTGTTATGATTATCATCATCATCAATAGAAATTTTGTTAACTGACTCGATATTGAGTGTTGTCCGATTAATTGTTAATTTACGATCTATTATTATGTATTAGTAATTATTATTATATGTTATTGGATTAGAGTGAGAGATTGTGTATATTATATTGAGAGAGTGTTATTTGATATCCTCGTTATAAGGAAAATATTATTATCTATTAATTATTAGAGATATTGAATGAGATATGTAGAGTTGATATTATTAGATAGAGAATGTAAGATGAGTATAGTAGTAGATATGATATGAGAGAGATAGGTATAGTATGAGTTTGAATGAGATGTATGGATGTAGATAAATGTATGTATTGAGACGATAGTATGAATTGAATGTATGTAATGAGTATTTAGTTATTAGAGAGTTATTGAGTTATTTTGTTAATGAGGAGAGAAGAGGATTATGAGAGGTTAATTGGTTGTTGTTGTTTATGTCAAATATGTATTATTTTTATTATTTTTTTGGTTCGCACTACCGATAGATATGAGTTAGTGAGATTGTTAAGATAGTTACAGATATTATTAGAAATTGAAAGTATTTATTGGTTAATTGTTATAGTATGATGTATAAGATAGAAGAGACATAATTTTTGTGGCAAATTTATTTAATGTAGACACAATGATTATTTTGTTATTGAGGAGAACCAGAGTAAAGGTATAATTATAGAGGATATATAAATTTTATTGGGGGTTTAGTTTTTTGGTATGTATCTAGGAATTGTTATATTTTAGGTTTATTGTTTATTATTCGTTGAATATGAATTTATATAATTCTGAAGTAAATAGTAAGTAGAGGTGATAGAGTAGAGAGTAGAATTGTAATGTACTGGAAATGAAGTATGAATGATTGAAATTGAGATAGTTAAGTTGGCTAAATGGAAGAGGCATTGGATGATGAACGAAGAGATTATTATTGTATTGAGTTATTGCATTATTATTATTGAAGAGTATAGATTGAGTAGTAGATGTAGATTAGTATGTTAGAATTAATTGAGTTAGTTATGTTGGTATTATTGATATTCGATTTTAGAGATGAGAGGGTATAATTATTACTGTTATTATTATGAGTAACTCATGAGTAGATTGAGAGTTAGTTATGATGATAATCGGAGGAGGTCATTAGGGTAGAGATAGAATGATAGAACTAATTATTAGTTATGGTAGTATATGTGAGGAGAGAATGGTCAATGAAGATAATTATTGCTTATTGATTTATCTGTGATATGTGTTATTCTACACTAGTAGAAACGCTCCAGTACTCAGTAGGAATAAGTAGATGCGCTAAGAGTAAGTAGTACGCAACTCACGCATGCTAGTTTTACTACTCCACTACTACTAGCTACGGCTGATGTATACCGACATAGGCTACGAGAAGCAATATTAACTGAAACTCGACACTACTATTTGAATACTACTACATAAACTTCTGCAATGTGTAAAACTCGTTGTTGTTGTTGTTGTTGATTATTGGAAGTTATTGATAGGTCTACTACTACCACTACTACTACTGCTTTTATTACCTACTACTACTAGCAATATTACTACTAGTACTACTATTACTAGTACTACTACTACTACTACTACTGTTGTTGTTGTTGTTGTTGTAATTATTGGAATTATTATTATAGTTAATATTTCTTCTTAATATTTGTACATTATTTTGTTGTCTTTTGTTTATTATTGTTATTAGCATGATACCACCGGGGATGGCATATATGTACATCCCATGCCGAGTGTGGGTTGAGTTTATTAATTGTCTTAACACTTAGATGGCTCCACAAGTACTGTCACCAAAGAGC